CTTTTCTTTTTTTTTATCGCGGGGCACCCCCCGCCGGTTCCTCCCTGGGGTCCCCCCCCCTCCAAAAAGGTGTAGGGCCCCCGTAGCTTTGGGGTAAGAAATTCGCCCCCAAAGGGGGCCCCGGGGGCTGGGGGGTTTATTTCAGCCTTTTTTTTTTTCCCGGGGGCCCCCAAAAGCACCTTCCCTTTCCCTTTGTTTCCCCCCCCCCCGCGGTTCCCCGTCGGGCGGGGGGGGAAAACAGGGCCTCAGGACCGCCTCTCCCCTCTTGGCTGGAAACCCACCCAAAAACCTCCCCACCCACCTACCCCCACCAGCCAGGTCACAGGCAGACGCGGGGGGGGGGGGGGGGGGGGGAAGGGGGCAAGGTCACAAGACCCAGTCTAGACGGGCCAGGCCAAGTTTACTCTCCTCATTTCACCTTGACCTTGGACTCCGGAGGCAGGGAAGCCAGTTTCCCAGCCAGGAGCGAGCTCCCAGAAAGACCCACCTTCACTTCGGCTCCTCTCTCCTCCTTCTACCATCATCACCCCTCGTGCTAGCCTGCTTGCCTGCTCCTGTAACCTTTCTGTTGTATTTTCTGCCTACTGCCAGCCCAGCCTGAAGCCTGATTTCGGAAATCTAAGGATGTTGATCACACTGATGAAGATTAGTTTCTTATCCTAACTCACCCTTGCCAGGACCTCTCCATGCTCTCCATCTTCAAACACCACCTTCCCCTACAGAAAGAAGGGAGACTGCGTGGCTGGGTCTCAGGATAGACCTGGCCATTTGCTCTTGGGGCTGGCGGGGTCCAGTGGGTCTGGCTTAGCCTGAGGTTACTGTGAGCTGCCTGGACAGGAGTACCCAGCATGTAAACGCTGCAGCAGGGGCAGAAAAGAGGGAGATGCTGCAGCCCCTCTCCCCTCTCCCCCCCCCCCTCTTTATGACCTCTTCTCCTCAGGGAGGCCCTGTGCAGAAAGGGAACTTGGCTCAATTCCACCGAGATGTGCCCTGGAAAGGGTTGCCTCTGTTAAGGCATCAAGTTGGGTGTAGGAAGGCCCGTAAGTCGGGAGATTGCGAGGGAAGAAGGGGGGGGGGTTACCGTAAGTTGGTGTTAATTTGTCCTTTGAAATATGGGACAATTTTAAAGCATGAAAACAATTCACACTATAAGGGAGCTAAAACTGCACTGATCCGGGCTCTGCCCGGCCCACTGGCCCACACCAGCCTAACGGCCCTGGGCGGCCCCGGGCTGAGGTCGGTCCTCCTGGGGCCTCCCATCTCTCCCTCATTTCAAGTTTCCTTTTGTACACAGATATGAGAGCAGGAGTGCTCTTATTCACATCCAGCGCTTTTTTAGCTTTCCTAGACCTACTCCTCTCCCCCCTCTGCCCCCCTTTCTTTGAAAAATCTCACTCCGAGGTTTTTTATTTCTATTGTATATTGAAATGCCAGCCTATTCTATTGCCCCAATTTCCCATTTCCCTCCTTTTATTCTCCATGTTTCACTGAGAGCATCTCTACTCCATGCGGTGATCTGTGTGCGGGGGCGGGAGGGGGGCCATCGCATCCTTCCAGCACTGTGCGGACCAGAGTCCCTCTCAGAAAACTGGGGCTTTAGGGTAAGTGGCTGGCAGTAGGAAATGGAAACGCCATCCCGTCATCAAAGTCTCTCTTCCTGCCCGGCTTCGGGACCTAGTGAGCTTCAGGGGAGTCGCCCTGGGCCCCAGCCGGGCTCCCCACGCCCTGCCCCCGCGCGCTGACGCCTGCTTTCTAGTTTCTTCACTTATTAAGGAAAAAATCCAGTTTCTCCCTCACCCTTAGTTCCAAGTCCCGATCCACTCACAGCGATCTTTTGGGGGGTGGGATTTGTCTCCCCCATATACATCCTAAGCCTAGGGGGAGACGCCCAGGAATAGTCCTCGCCTCTCCAGACCCCTTTGCGTCGGCCAAATTGAGCCTCCCCGCCCCCCTCCTCATTCTCCCTCCCAGGGGCCTGCCAGGGGGCGTTGCCCTGTCCCTTTAAATCTCCCAGCTCCCTCCTCTTTGCCCCTCCTGACAGCCAATCAGCACAGAGCTTTTCCACTTTGCCCCGCCCCACCTGGAGGGGTGGGAACTCCAGGAGACCGGGCCCGGCTCGCTCGGCGCTGGCCGAGTCACGTGGGCGCGGGAGGGGTGTGGAGGGGAGGCGGGCGGCCGCCGGCGGATTTCTTAATGAAGTGTCCCCGCATGCGTAGAAGGAATCTGGGGGAGGGAGGTGGAAACACCAGGAGGAGGGGAGGGGTGGGGAGGGACAGGAGGAGGGATGGGGGAGGGGAAAAGAGAGCGAGGTGTCTCCCCAGCTCGCTGCCTCTGGCAAGTGGAGTTTTTAAAAAGCTCGAGCAGATCATGTCATGACGACTTCGCTGCTCCTGCATCCGCGCTGGCCAGAGAGCCTTATGTACGTCTATGAGGACAGCGCGGCGGAGAGCGGCGGCGGCGGCGGCGGGGGAGGCGGCAGCGCGGGCGGAGCGGGGGGCGGCTGCAGCGGAGCGAGCCCCGGCAAAGCCCCGAGCATGGACGGGCTGGGCAGCAGCTGCCCGGCCAGCCACTGCCGCGACCTGCTTCCCCACCCCGTGCTGGGCCGCCCACCGGCTCCCCTGGGTGCCCCTCAGGGCGCCGTCTACACGGACATCCCGGCCCCGGAGGCGGCGCGCCAGTGCGCCCCGCCGCCCGCGCCCCCCACCTCGTCCAGCGCCACCCTGGGCTACGGCTACCCGTTTGGTGGCAGCTACTACGGCTGCCGCCTGTCGCACAACGTGAACCTGCAGCAAAAGCCTTGCTCCTACCACCCGGGCGATAAGTACCCGGAGCCGTCGGGCGCCCTGCCCGGCGACGACCTGTCCAGAGCCAAGGAGTTCGCCTTCTATCCCAGCTTCGCCAGCTCCTACCAGGCGATGCCCGGCTACCTGGACGTGTCGGTGGTGCCTGGGATCAGCGGGCACCCGGAGCCGCGTCACGATGCGCTCATCCCTGTCGAAGGCTACCAGCACTGGGCTCTCTCCAACGGCTGGGACAGTCAGGTGTACTGCTCCAAAGAGCAGTCGCAGTCCGCCCACCTCTGGAAGTCTCCCTTTCCAGGTAAGGATGGGGCCCGAGTGCCGCGGCCGCCGCCAGGGACCCTCCCCGCCCCGCCTGCCCCCGGGCTCCGCGCCCCAGCCACCCCCGCCGTCTGGTCCCGGCGCGCCGGCTTTGCTGGGCTGCCGATGGAGCTGGCCCGGCGAGCTGCGCTGAGGAATGCTCCGGGGAAGAAATCTGCTCCGACACGTTCCCCGAAGCTGCCTGGCTGAGAGTGAAGCAATCACAGGCGCCCGAGCGCCGGGCCGCCGGCTGCGCTCTAGTCGGTAGCTCGCCTCCTCCTCCCCCAGCCGGCTCCAGTCTCGCGCGTGGCTCTGTGCCGGCGAAGCCCGCTTCCGGCTAAGAATGGGGGTGGGGAGGGCCTAGAGTACCTTGGAATCCACAATCACCAGCCCCAAACCCTCAACCCACCAAATAACTGGGGGGGAAAATAAGAACCCCCGTTTTCTTTGCCAGAATTTCCAAGATCGGTCAGGCACTAGACAGTTGAGTGTGTGTGTGTGTGTGTGTGTGTGTGTGTGTGTTTTAAATAGGAGTCCGATTTGCCACAGTCTACAGAAATGTAGGATACTACCTTTTTCTTTTCTTTTTTATCTATTAAAAAAATTTGGCCATGAATTTCCCAATTGTTAAAGGAGCAGAGCTAAAATCTCTCTTGAGAGGGTGTGTAGAGAAAGAAGTTTGAATCCCTCTCCTGAGATATAAATTTTATTTTTCTCTCTGGTATACTGAGTTCAAATAATGTGGGTGTTTCCACTGCTAACTCCCGCAAGTGTGGGGGGAGAGAGTTATCCATGCCACAACACAGAAAGAAGGTGGTAAGGATGAGAGGGGTAGGGGAGGAAGACCTGTTCTGAAGGGACCTGGGGTCCAGGCCCAGGCTGAGAGCCCCTCAGTTTTGTCTGGCTATGTGTGGGGTATGGGGGGTGGAATTCACCATTGCCCTATTCCTCTTTAAATGAGGCTTTCCCTAAACAGGAGGGGATCTTGCAACCCACCCAAGGGTTTCTAAAAACCATTTGGGAGCTTTGAATGCAGCACTGCACTGAGAAATCAGGATTTGGGATCTAACAAATCCAGAGCTTCAGTCTGCTCTGGCTGTAAGTAGAGCTCAGGGAGAGAGGGCTGACTGGCTCCCTTCCAACGTCCACAGGGGCCCAGTGGGGCCCAGCGCAGCCACACATGTCTCCCCATACTGCCCAGAGGTCCCCCAGCTCTGCATATGGGCCTAGGGACATTTTCATTGGAAAATATAGACTGAAGACCTCTTAAGAGTGGGCCCGAAATTCCTCTGCATCTGGGACTGGGGAAAGGGCAGATGGTGAGAATATCACTGAATTATGTTAGAAAGTGTAGCAAATAACATTCTTGTAAATATTCTGAGAATACTCAATATAACATACAACTGAATACCCGGGTGGAACCCACCCTAGGCACCCCATTTCTGGTTGCAAGAAGATTTAAGGATGATAGAATTTTAGTACATGGTATCATGCATTACATATTTGGCATTGGCGATAATATTTTTATATAATAAGATTTCTATTATTAACCACCTAATATGAAACATACACTAATATATTTCTAGAATACAGGCAATTCACATGTAGAGAGATGGCCCTTTAATCCCCCAATTCTCCCAAATGGAAAGGTCCTTAGGAATTGGGTATCTAGCAGGAATTCTTGGAGCAGGTGGAGCCAATAGGCCATTCTAAAGGGCCGAAAGACAGGGGAGCATATACCCACCAGGCCCACTCTGGGCAGAAGTGCAGGTCTGGAGCAGTGGGCGATGGGTTTAATGTGAAGAAGTGAAGAGGAGCTTCTCTGGCATCCTTATGTATTCGTGTGGAGTGGAGTAGGGGTGAAGGATTGAAGAGAAGCTCAGAAATATCTTGGAATAAAATATACATTTTAAAGATTCCCTGGGGGGGAAAACACGCTAGAAATAAACACTTTGTGATCACAGCCTCCTAGAGAAAAATAGCTTTGAAATAAAAAATATATAGCCCAACTGAGATGTAATACATTTGCAAATTATGGCATGCAAATTACAGCATGGAAATGGATATAAAACCCAGTGTGTCTCAGCAGCTATGTGCTCAAACACTCCCTGTGTGGAAATAGAATCAGGCTGGTGTATCACAGTGAGTGCAGAGGTCCAGGCAATAGGCAGATGAAAAAGAAATGATCTTCAGACACCCTCCATCTTTCTGCCCACACAGAGATCTTTTAGAAGCAGTGAGATTTCCAGATAACTCTGTCTATGCAATTGTGGTTTGTTCCACAGCATCTAGGCATAAACACTACTGTCTCTCTTCAGCGCCTCTGGCTCTGAGAAACCTCATCTATGGCAGTCTGGGCTGGTGTGGGAGATGGAGCAATTGTTCAGAAAGATCCAAATAATTAGGGCCAAGATGTGTTGTGGCTTTTTCCTTCCCCCAATTATACAGACCCTTGCTTCATTGCGCTTGCTCTCTCTGTCTCTCTGTCTCTCTCTCTCTCTTCCTTCCAATGGTGAGTGTAGACTTTTTTTTTCTTCAGAGAGAGGCAGAAATTTTGAGAGAGAATCAGCAAAGAAAGGATGGGGAGAGACAGAGAGGATTAGGAGAGAGAGAGAACGAGAAAAACATTTAGTGGGTTCTTTGGGTCATGCTGGAGTACCTACTGACAAGCCTTTGGATTTTGGTTGAGAAGAGAAGCTAGGATTTCTAGCTGAGGAAGGCGTCCTCTGCAGAGCCCTGTTGTGGCAGTAAGTGGGCAAGAGCGAGGGAGCAGTAGGAACCTGTACACAGAGCTCCAAGAGAAAGCTATGGCTGAGCATTGATCTGATTTTTATTTGCTCTTCAAAAGTGTCTATTAGATTCCCAGGTATGAAGTGGTTTGGGTGCGTGTATGCTCTGGAGGGAGATTAGGGAAGGGTTGAGTGTAATATTAATTAGCCAACTCCCCTGTTTACTTTAGGCAGTATAGACACTATTCCAGGTCTAAGCTTTAGATGTTCCCACATCTGTGGATCCCACTTCCTTTTCAGACAAGACAACAGACAATGAAGGGGGCTTCTGTGAGAAGGCAAGAGAGAAGGTATTTCCCCAGGAGGCCTTTAAAAATCCCCAGCAGTTTGGTCTGGTCCATGAAAAACTTGGCCAAATCAATCCTGGTATTCTACAGAGAAAAAGAGCCAGCTTAAATCAATTACTTGTTTTTTAAAACTGATTTTTAGGGTTGCATTGATTAAACCTCATTGGAAAATTAGAGTTACAAAATTGGGTAGGTAATTGTGAGCATTTACAAAAAGTGAGGGGAAAAACAACAACAACAACAACAAGGACAATTATCTGGTTACTTCAGGAATTAAATGCCACTTTTATTCCATTTTGCTCTCCAGGGAAAAGAAGGCATTTTATTTTATTTTATTTTATTTATTTTATTTTTTGAAAAGGAGATATTTTAAAGCTGGATTGTATCAGGTGGTTTATTTCTATTTGAGAAATCCAAAAATCTGGGTTTAAAATCTTAAACTTAAGTTATTTTATCCAGTCTAGAGCCTCAAATTCTCATCTTGTAAATGAGTTTACTAAAATAATCCTGAAAAAAAAGTTCTGGGGATTAACACAAACAAAAAGAAAACCTCACAATGACCTCATGATATCATTACTTACCTTCTCTGTATTATTCTTGTCTCAGAATCATCAATTTCCTGAATCATAGTTACATCTGTAAGAGTAAAAAACAACTTGAGAACTGAGAGGTTTTTAAAAAAATTATCTTGTACAAAAAATCATTTTTAATCTAAAGGATCTTCTCTGTTAAAGTGAAGTTGTTTTGTTTTTCAGATTTTTATAAAACCTTGGCCTATTCATACATAGGCAGAGACAAGGGACAAATCCAACAATTTTCCTGAGAAATTGTCATCACGAAGACAGCCAAACCAGGCCATTGGAACCCCCCTCTCCCATATTCTTCCTGAGCACTTTTCTCAGGAGACATCTCTCTCCATCCTATAGAGATAAGGGTCCCAGTGGGAATGGGTATAGGGAAGGTGTTGTATGAGGGTGGGGTGAGAACAGCATTTCAGGAAGAGCTTTGTGTTTTCACCCCGGACTGTTTCTACACTCTCAAAGGGTAGAGAACGAAGGAGAAACCCCCAATATTCTGTCTTCTTCACTAGCTTCTGTCTGAAGAAGTCTAATAACTATATTTTAAAAATTAAGGGGCCATTTGTTTAGATAATCTCCCTAGTTTCCCACTTCCCCTTGAAAGTGTGGCTATGACATTTTTATTGACAGAGGTGAGGGTGGAGTGGAAGGGGGGTATAAGTGACATTTTTTTGTTTTTGGTTTCTGTGAAATTTTCAGAGTATAAAGAAACTGAACTACTAGTGGTTAGGGTGACAAGGTATTTAGGATTTAGGGTTAGGATTCCTGCATGGGATGAAGAGAGTTTTCTTCGGCTTTGGAAGAATGGAGAGGAGAGGGGGTTGGAGCAGAGCAGAATTTGCTCTGTTTTGGTGGGTGGACATTTGTGGGGGCAGGGGGACATTGAGTTCTTTCTATAGACTTATGTGAATAGCTGATTTTACCCCCCAAGAAGGGCCCTCCTGGTGCCTTCTCTGGTGGACAGACCCTGGGGCGTGGACCCTTTACTTCCAAGGACTGATTCTCTATATCTCAGGACCAGGGCCTCCTATCCTACCTTGGATGTTGTTAAGTGGCTCACAAAATTGGACTCCTAGACTGATGGGCTCCCACGCAGGCTGGTGTCACCTGGACTGTTCTTCTCTCTGTCTAGTGGTGCGGGCATCAGATTCCTAGTGCAGAGCCAGTGAGCAAAGCCGTGAGCAGCCACTTGGTGGTCTGTGCCAACTGCAGCTATCTCCCTGCCCGACATGTCCTTCCTCAAACCTACAACAGAACATCTTTCTTTCATACTGGAGCAGAGGATGAGCTGATGGCTGCCCAAATGATTTACCTGCAGGAAGGCCTGCAGACCAGAGTGAAATTTGAAGGGACCCCTCTAAGGGCACAGAGATTCTAGTGACACAGAGATTTTAGTGACACAGAGATTGCGGTGCCAAGCCTTAATGAAGCCTGAGACAAAAAGAAAATCAGTAATACTGTCCCAGTGTTTATTTTTTTTAAATATATATTTTATTGATTTTTTACAGAGAGGAAGGGAGAGGGATAGAGAGTTAGAAACATCGATGAGAGAGAAACATCGATCAGCTGCCTCCTGCACACTCCCTACTGGGTACGTGCTGCAACCAAGGTACATGCCCTTGACCGGAACCGAACCTGGGACCCTTGAGTCCGCAGACCGACGCTCTATCCACTGAGCCAAACCGGTTAGGGCTCCAGTGTTTATTTTAAAAAATTGATACTTTGTTCATCATGGATATTTTGCATTCATTTTGATTTTTTAAAGCATTGTACTCAAGTATTGTTTATCTTGATGACTGAGTATTTTGTGCCCCCTCCTTTAAAGTTTGAACCAGAGAAAAATACCACAGTGGCCTCACCTCCGTCGTGGCCTTGCTACTAGAGAGCAAAAGATTTGGGGGCAATCCGCTGGCCCGCTTTGAGTCCCTGCCAGAACTTTGCGCCCAGTCTGCGGTGCGGTGTCGATGCCCGTAGCCCAGTCCAGGTTCCATCCACGAGACTCACTCCCTGCCCGCCTGCCTTCTCTCCCCCCTTAGACGTGGTTCCCCTACAGCCTGAGGTGAGCAGCTACCGGCGCGGGCGCAAGAAACGCGTGCCCTACACCAAGGTGCAGCTGAAGGAGTTAGAGAAGGAATACGCGGCCAGCAAGTTCATCACCAAAGAGAAGCGCCGGCGCATCTCTGCCACCACGAACCTCTCCGAGCGCCAGGTCACCATCTGGTTCCAGAACCGTCGAGTCAAAGAGAAGAAGGTGGTCAGCAAATCGAAAGCGCCTCATCTCCACTCCACCTGACCGCCCACCCGGCCACCTTCCCCCTCTATTTATGTCGCCGCTTTGTACCATAACCAAACTCACCGAAGGACCCTTCGCCGGTGCAGACGAATATTTAATGTTAACAAGAAAGAGGAACCGTGGCTGGGAGGCAGAGAGTATCCAAGGGCGGGCGCCCTGCCGTCCCCCTACTCCCCACCCCATCCTCAACCCCCACCCCCATCTAGATGGGATCTACTGGGCCTCAACAGCTTTGGAAGTGGGTCCCTGGCGGGCGGCGGGAGCAAAGCTGCCGGGGCCCCATCCCCCCCTCTCCCATCTCCTTGTAAGAAAGCCAAGTGGCAGCGAAGAGCAAGAAGAGCCCAATCATTGCAAACAAAGCAGGGTTGGAGAACCCCAATGACCCCATTCTTGCCTCCTCCTTTGCCCAGCAGGTAGAGGATCCTCCTGAGGTATCTCAACCTCAGTGCAGGACCTGGTGAGCTTAAAATTTCCTTCCAGTCCTCCCCTGCTCCCTGTCCCTACTGCACTCCTTAGTTAGGCAAGAATTCCCAATTAAGATTTTTCTGTGCATATTTTAAAAGTCGTGTTAATGATAATTATTAGGGGTCAGGCACCGTGATTGGAGTACAGGCAGCACATAGGTTTTCTTTCTTTCTGTTTCAACAAAAGCTGGAATTGGCCTAAGAGCCACCTACCCCCCTCAACCAGGAAACTGAATTTCTCAGGAGCCGCCTTTGCCTCCACTGCCTCTTCTGTTCTGCTCTCCCAGTCATCACACAGGAATCCAAGGTCAGAAACTCAACCAGCCTTCTAAATATTTTTCTCTCCTCCTCCTCCTCCTCCTCCCTTCCTCCCTCCCTTCCTCCTCCTCCTCCTCCTCTTCCTCCTCCTCCTCCTCCTCTTTCTTCTTCTTCTTCTTCTTCTTCTTCTTCTTCTTCTTCTTCTTCTTCTTCTTCTTCTTCTTCTTCTTCTTCTTCTTCTTCCTCTTCTTCTCCTTCCTCCTCCTCCTCTTTCTTCTTCTTCTTCTTCTTCTTCTTCTTCTTCTTCTTCTTCTTCTTCTTCTTCTTCTTTCTCTCTCTCTCTCTCTCTCTCTCTCTCTCTCTCTCTCTCTCTCTCTCCAGGCCATAAAGAAGTAGAATCTTTTTTTCTTAAAGAAAATAAATAAATAAAGAAACCACAGGATGGAGTTTGGGGTCCCCAGCAGAATCCCTCTCCAGTCACTTCTCCATCATGGCAGTAGCTGAGAACAGAGGCCTCATACTTTCACTTTTACTGATTGTCCAGAGGAAAGCAGTTTTCTTCCAGGAAGCCAAAATAAGGGCCCCCACAAAGCCAGCTAATGGAGACGCTGCCTAACATTTCCCTCTTCAAGGCCAACTTGGTGCTAGGGGGCCCCTCACCTTCTCCCACTGGCGCATTACAAAACAGTGTTCTTTTGCAATGTTCATCAGAAATAGGCTTTTTAAAAATGTTGTGTATCTGTATATAGTATTGTGATGTCTGAATGACAATGTATTGAATTGAATGCAAAAAGAAAAACCCACAAACCTGTTTTTAAAATAAAATCTTTTTTTGGGCCTTGATTTTATTGCTCAAAGTCTTTGGAAGCCTCTCTTTCCAGTGGCTCTTCAGAGACGTTTCTGATGCCCTGACTCAGCCAGAATGGGCACTGGAAGAGCACAGCCATCACCCCAGCTGGGAAGACCCCTGACTCATATTTTGCTCCAGTTTCTTTTTTAACTTTGGGTGGTTGAAACTATCTAGACAGGAGAAAAGTTCTTTCCATCCTGATGGAGAGAAGGATGTAATCAGCAACTGAAAAGGCCTGGGAGCAGGTGAGTGAGAAAAATACTTGCTATTTCAGTTAGTAGTTGGGGCTCAGATCTGGATTTGGGGGCTGGAGCTGAATGCTGTAGTGACAGCAGTGGAAAGCTAACTGGAGGCCCTACTGTCTGCAGAGGGTCCCAAATTCCTACAGCCAGTTCAGGGCGGAGGCTAGGGAGAGGTTCGCACTGCCACCCCTGCCCTGCTCGGTGTTCCCAGGCTGCACTCTTTCTTTCCCCAGCGACCTATGTAGAGAGGTCAGGCTGCTAGGATCCCTGGTGCCCCCAGTTCACTAAAGCAACCCCACTTTTATTCTCCAGCATTCCTGGAAACCTCGGTCTTTCAAGCAATCTGGAGCCCCATAGGCCCTGCCACTAATTTGTTTTTTTCTGTCGAGTCAGTCCATGCCTATCTCCCTATCTGGCAGAGTTAATGAGATTGTTAAATTGTCAGGTTAGGAGACTTTTAAAAAGCAACATCGCCTAAAACAATGTTATCTTGGATTAAATCTTTACTGCGGCAATTTTTATATATAATATTCTTCCTCTCCTGAGACACAGAAAGACTGGAGGCATTGAATTGGAAATTAGAGTTCTCTGGTCTCCCTTTACCTGATGGCTGAAGTTTTAAATATTTTATTGAAATAAATAAATGTTTCTGAGGATGAAACACACACATGCACACACAGGGAGTCTGAGAGACAAAGAGCCTGAAGAATTCACCATCTCTGGAGGCTTTGCTACTGATGTGGCACCAGTCCTGTTCAAGTGCATTTTAACTCTGGGTTAACTATCAAAGAACCATATGCTGGGAAGTAGAGATTTAGGAGGTGTAAGTGAATCTCCCAGGAATAAGGTTCATTTTTAATTCCATCTCCCCTTTCTCTTCCTATCCACCACCCTAACCTTTCCCCAAAACCAGAGTCTCCCTTGAGATGAAAAGAGTTGAAGATTAAATGTATGCTTGAGCAGAAAAAGAAACTGAATAGATAAGAGGTCTGGGGCTCTCTTGATATGGTCCCCACCTCTCTTGACTTGAAGATGCATTGGGCAGTCCCACAACACCCAATGTACACACAGTGGAAGTTGGAGACTGGGCGGGGGGAGAAGTCTAGAGTTCTCTGAGGGGCCCTCCGCTTCTGCACACAAACCCACAAGTAATCAAATGAGTGAATCTTTCCACACACAGAGGGATCGGCACTAAAGCCCCAGAAGAGGGCGATGAAAAAGAGGAGAGCCTGGTCAGTATGGCTCAGTGGTTGAGACTTGACCTATGAACCAGGAGATCATGAACCAGGAGGTCATAAACCAGGAGGTCACTGTTCGATCCCCACCCCCACCCCCACTCCATGGCACATGCCTTGGGTTGCCAGCTCGAGCCCCAGTGTGGGGTGTGCAGAGGGCAGCCTATCAATGATTCTCTCATCATTGATGTTTCTATCTCTCTCTCTCCCTCTCCCTCTCTGAAATCAATAAAAAAATTTTAAAAAGAAAAGAGAAGGAGAAAGCCTGTGGAAGCTCACTGGGGTTGCACTGGGACCCTGGTAACCCAGGCAAAGACTGAAGTCTCTCTGAGTCCTTGTGAGTCCCAATGTGTTTAAGACCCTCTCAAGCCCTGGATTAAATGTGTCTGAATGGATTTTGGGTAATTGTCATGCCTGGATCAATTTTAAGATGCCTCTCCCATAAAAGTAAGTGAGCATGAGAATGGGAACTCCCATGTGAGACAGGTATTGTGTGACTGTGTGTTCTGGGGTGGCAACGTTGGGAAAATGTATTATTCTTTTCCTGATCATGTTGGTCCCTTACCTTTCTGTCCTCCAAGAAGTGGCATTCTCACTGGGGACTCTGTGAGACATTCCTGTCAAGGGTGTGTGTGTGTGTGAGTGTGTGTGTGTGTGTGTGTGTGTGTGTGTGTGTGTGGAGAGCCTTTGACCAGTGGAGAATTTCCTCAGCCTTTACTGCCTGTGTGTGCAACTGTGTAGGTAGGAGTGTCACCAGCCGGCACTCATCTCAGGGTATAGAATTGTTTTCTCTTCTTTATTCAAATCTATAAAAAGGCTTTCTTTCTAAGGCCAGTCTCCTAGTGTTGGTGTGAGAGTCAGGCTGCAATAAATATGAGAGTACAAGGGAATAGCAGGGCTGTGAGCACAGAGGCTTCTCCTGGAGACAGCCCTCCCCTCTGGGATGGAAGCCCCTGCTGTCTTTCTCACAGTCTGGGGTGGCATTCTCCACCCTTCATGCCCCACCAGGTCAGGACCGGGGATCCTGGATGGGCGTGGGCTGGAGCCTCACAGGACTCTCCATCTGGGGGCCACTCTCCCAGGCCGCCAGGGAGGGCTCAGTTACATCCTTTCCATGTCCTTCCCCACCCACATCTTCATCCCCAGACCCAGGGCCAGCAGACGGGCCTTTCAGCCGCAGTCCCACAGCCAAGAACCCACCTGAGGGAGCAAGGCCAGCAGTTCTCGGGAGATTCCTCCACCGCTGTCTCTATGCCATCTGCTCCTGCGGCTGATCCACAGACAGCTGGGTCAGCAGTGAGGGAGTACAGCAGGGACAGCCCTCTGACATTCTCCATGGCTCAGGGGATTGGGAGCTGGGGACGTGGCGGCAGCCCCTCTGTTCAAAAGAGAACTCCTCACGCTAGGATCCACCTGGGTGCGACTCAGGTGGCCTGGGTAAGGACGGTGCTGATCCCAGGCTGCTGGCGTGAGCCCACCCCTCAAAAACCTCCAACTGCAGGATCAGATGTGTATCCAGACTTGCGTTGGGGGAGGATAGAGGGGCCCTGGGAAGCGAGGAGCTCCTGGGAGGAGGAGGGGGCCAGAGCCTTTCGCAACCAACCAGGCTCTTCCTCTTTTAGCCTTGACCGTGACTAGGTCTTTCTGACCTTGACATCGCAAGGAGCACATGCGAGGGGGGAGGGGGGAAAAGGCCTTGATCTTCCGGTGGCCAGAGAAGGGGAGGGCCGCGAGCCCCCTCGACGCGCCATCCCCCCTTCCCGCCAGAGCCCGCCGCCTCTGTTTACACACAGAGGAGGTGTCGTCTTCAGTCTAGACAGGGGCGCTAATAACGACCATAAAAGGCGGCCTCCCCAGAGATGCTCGCAGCTCAGCTCCCGCGCGCCGACCGCTGGCCGCTCCCTCCGCCTCCTCCGCCCCGCCCTCCTCAGATACCTCGGCTTGGCCTGCGGCGGGTCTTGGGGAAGGGGGAGAGGGTGTCTAGAAGCTGAGAGCCCCCGCCCCGCATCCTTCCGAACCTCTTCCGTCTCCAAAGGTAAGTGGACCCCGCTCTTCCGGCCCAGCCATCCTCGGGGTGAACAGCACGTCCACCCCCCCACCTCCACCAGCCTCCTGGGCCGGTGGCCCCTACTCCGACCCGCCCGCGCTCCCCACCCCGCACTGGGGGCTTGACTTCGGGGGGCGTTTGGGTAGCTGGCAGAACAGACCCCAGGCAGATCTCAGCCGCTGCCCAGAGCTAGGCCTGGACGGAGGCCGCGGTCACAACCAGCCGCTGGCTGTGGGGCAGGGGGCTCTGGGAGGGTCGTCCTCACCCCACCTGGAGCTCGAGGTCTGCGGAGACCAGGCCCCCTTGCAGGCGGCTGTGGGTGTGACGTGTGATGAGGGTGTGTTGTTGTGTGTTTTTTAACTTGGTCCCACACCTTCCTTGACACTCAGTAATTCACTAGGCGGAGGAGATCCTCTGCTGGCGGAGGTGGAAAATGTCAGAGCCACGCAACCATTTAACTATTAGCGCGCCGGAAAGACAGAAAATGGGGAAAGATGGCCCATTTAGGGATGCTCAGGTGAGAGGTGGAGAGATGGCTTCCCAGATGTTCCCGCCGGGACTCCCCACCCCTTCCCTGTCTCCTGAGTGGCAACCGGGCTGGGGTCTTGCGGCGGGAGGCAGCTCAGAAGGAGCTGCGGGATCGAAGGACGTGAGGACGCTGCTGATCCCAGGCTGCTGGCTCGAGCCTAAAACCCTGACTGGGCCCCCTCACCCAAGACTTCTCTAAAGCCCCCACCTCCAGGCTGTAGGTCCTTAGAAGGCAATACCTGGAGAAGGGGCCTCCCAGATTTCTTTTGTAAGTCCCGGGCTCCCAGAGGAAGACCTGGGAACCAAGTGCGCTCCGGCCTCTGGAGGAGCTCCTGAAGCAAAAACAGAGACTGAGCTCCCTTCCTTTACCTCTGTCTAGTCTGAATCCGACCAAGGCCCTGTTGCAAGTCCAACTGCCCTAAAGGGGTGAAACAGAGAGGCCTGAGGGGTGGGGGCCCAAGCCGTCCACATTCGCCGCTTTTCATCTCCCCTCTCCCTGCCTGCTCAGCCCCTACTCAGATCTCTTTCAAGGCCCAAGCGCTGCCTCATTTGCATATGCGGCGGAGCCGCTCTCCGCAAACTAGACAGTGACCTTGAACCGGGCCACCGCGGCCTCTCCACTGACGGGGAGAAGACGGCACCGCCGCGCTGCATCATTCCGACCCCGGGAAGCCCGAACGCAGCCGCTCACAGCTGCTCCGCGGTGGCCTGCGCAGCCGCCTTGACCCCGCCACCAGAACCGGCGTAGATTTTATAATCAGCTCCTCTCGCCTGGCTCAGCGGTGGCAGCGACTCGAGGCCCCGCGAGAAGGCCTCGAAGATGCGGGAGGGATGGAGGCTCAGGCAGAGAAGGCGCGGGAGAGGAGGCAGGGCGTCCAGCTGGTGGGTGTGCGGAAGCACGAGGGCTGCCACGGGTCTTTACGGAAAACCTTGGACCACATCCTGGCCTTCAGTTTTCATTAGCCCCTGAGTTAATGAGAGGGGCATGGCTGAGCCAAGACCAGCTGCAGCAGGAAGCCGTGGCTCAGACGCTAGCAAGCAGGTCACCTCCTCTAACCTTGTGATTTGATGAAAGTGCAGGAGAGTGGACGTACAGAGCGCTCCGCGGTTCCGGAGCCTGGGTCCCCGGCCAATTATAGTTTTGCAGGCGGCTGCGAAGTGCGAGCGGATTAAACCCGCGGTCTAGACGCGGCTGTCCAGCGCTTCAGGCCGGGAGTCCTTCCCAGCATCCGTATCCAGCCCCAGTGGGCTCAGGGCTAGCAGCTCTAGCCGAGTCTGGATTTAGATTTGATTTGAAGCCTCGCACCCGAGCCTCCCGCCGGCCCTGGGGACCCAGGCTGAGAGCGGCGCTCTGGGGGCTGTTTGTCTGAGGTGGTTAAGGAAGGGAGCTGCGTGCAGCGGGGGTCTTACAGGCCAACAGAACCGCGGTGGGTGCCAAGGGAGGCTGAGCGCTTTATGTTGCCCGGGTCCTCGCTGCGATCCTGTAAACCCCTAGGTTCACACTGAGTCCTGAGGAACCCGACACTGGAGATGCGGATTTCTATGATGATTCTTGGCAGCTCTCCCTGAGCGGACTCGGGGTCCGAAGCTCGGAAGAAAGGGGGTTTAAGCATGTACCAGTGCCCACAGAGTCCCAAACCTGGGAAAATGGCCTTTTTTGACGGGGCCTAATCAGTCTGATAGAAACTGCGAGTGCAGGAAACCTTCACTCCATCCTCGTTTCCCCTGCGTTGCATCTGCCGCCCTGTGGCCGCAGCTCTGTGTGCCGGGCGGTGGCCCGAGGGCAGCGAGCGGAGGTCTAGGCCTGGTATTTTCAAGCTCGGGAGGACTGGGGAGAGGCTGAGACTTTCCTCCTGGGGTCCCCCTTCTAGGAGATCGCGGTCCTCGGGGAGGGGAAAGAGAAGGGGGAGAAGCCTCACGGGAACTAGTGATTATTCCGCAAAGCTCAGCTCGGCATTTCTCACACCAACAATAGCGGCTGTGAGCCGAGGCCTGCAGACCTCGCCGCCAGCGCAATGTTCTGATTGAAAACTGCGGCAATATTAAAGTCACACCTTGTTTCGTTTTATGACCAAAATAACCCGCAAATAAAATTTTTAAAAATTAAAATTTCAGTGGCGCTCATTAATGCATCATGAAAAGGAGGCATAAATAATGTGTTGGAGGTGCTGTGACGTGGGAGTTGCAGCGGAGGGATGCTCCTCTCTGCAGCCGCGCAGCCCTTTAATCAGACACAACAAGGCCCATCCAGGCGGGTCGCTTGCCCACTGTTTGGCGCCCGGTTCCTGCGGTTCTGACTGGCGGTGACTGCGCCAGGCTGGCATCCCACTGCTTGGTCTCGGTTAGGCAAGTTGGGCCCCCAAAGGCTCCTGGGTGGGGGGCGGGGGGGCGGCTGGCGAGGCAGCCTGGCGGGCTTGGGCGGGGAAGGGGCAGACGCGGAGCGTCTAACTGCGGGGCCGGCAGGGCAGGCCGGCTGGGCGACGCCTGCACCGACGCATTTCTGGGGAGTGAGCAGCTATGGTTTGGGATATGAAATCGCCCGGAGCTGTGGAATTCTAAGAATCTGCGTCTCTCTCCGCTGCGTCCTGCAGAGAAGAGAGAGAAAAAGGGAGATGAGAATTTTTTGCTCCGGTCTGCTTCGGCTTTTGCTCAGACATTTAACTTTCACCTACGTGGGTGTGTTTTTTCTCTCCCATATGGAGTCTCTTAGTCTCTAATCTTCTCTAAATCTTCTGGTGTTTTCTCATATTTAGATGTTTCCTGAACTATTTATCTCACCTCGTATTACTAAAGCTGGGCATTGGATAAGGAGCCTGAAATAATCACATGGAAATTCGACTATTTTGTCTACTAGGCTCCGAGAGAATACACCTACTTTTGAAGGTTTTTGTATTATGTGTGTGTGTGTGTGTGTGTGTGTGTGTGTGTGTTGGTTTGTGTGTTTTTTTTCTCCTTTTTAATCCACTTGACTATGTTCTGTGGACTTAGTTGGAAAGGGTTTGTGATTTCCCTACCTTGACGAGTCTCACCAATGGCAGCATTGGGTACTCAGCCTTTTCCCGGCGGAGCTGCTGAGGCCAGCACCATAAACATAATTTTAAGCCCCCAACAGGATGGTTCTCTGGAGTTCTTTCCCTCGCTCCCAGCACACCTAGTGGCCTCAGCACTGCTGTCTGATGGTCCCAGAGCAGGTTGGGCCAATGTCCTCTGCACAGTGGGTGTCAGGAGCTTCCCAGGCCAACCAAGCTCTGCTAGGGGCCCAGAGACTCTCTTGCAAAGACTCTGGGAGATTCCCCCAGAAGCCCCTGTGACCCACAGAATCACAGTCAAGAGCAGTCCAACCCCCACATTCTCAAGGGCAGGTAGGCAGGTTCACATAGAGCTGGGCGCCTTCTTTTTCTGCCTCCCTCTGCATCCTTTCTCTACAGGTTGAGTGGACTTGTGAGGATAGGGTGGCTCCCATCGTGGGGGGAAGACCCTACATTAATAATGTTCCCCGGGTCCTTCCTGGAGGAAAGGGTCTCATATGCCTCCCCCAATTCCTGAGGAGAAAGAGCGGAAGAAGAAAAGCTCAGCAGCCACAGGGCCGAGAAAGAGCAGCAGGAGAACCTGCCCTTACCCCCACTCGCCTCTACTGTAAATAAACCCCGAGCCAAAGGGCTCATCCGTCTCCTTAAACAGCCAGTAAACTTTATATGACACAATATCTAATAGTAATTTATTGGGGAGATATTGTAAATTCCAACGGTTTTAGTTAATAAAGGAGCTAATTAAAGAGGGACGGGCTGTGCTGGGCCAGCTGTTGGTGAGAAGATAATACATGGGGGGGGGGGGGCGTGCAGGGTGCAGAAGTGTGTATGTGCGGGTATTTTTGGTGTGGCTATTTCCCCTTGCCCCGCGTCGGGCGGCTGCCTCGCTCTCTGCGTTCGGTTTTATATGATTTCTTTAAAAAACTAGAAACCAGCGAATAAATCTGTCCCCGCGTTTCGTGCGCCCCCCCCCCCATTGGGGAAGGGGGAAGTTGGAATTGGTGCGGGGTGGGGGGGATTCCCTGTCCCCACCCATCCCTCTGGGGGCGGCACCCCCGTGAGTTGGACGGCCAATGGGTGGCCGGTGCAGGTTTAACTATGTTTAATGTCAGATAGCAATAAAGTAGAAGCTGCCGGTCGGGCCCCGCGGAAATGGGAAAGCATAATCTCCTGAATCCCGGGTTTGTGGGGCCGCTGGTGAACATCCACACGGGGGAAACCTTCTATTTCCCCAATTTCCGCGCGTCCGGGGGCAGCTGCCCGGGCTGCCGTCGCTATTCTACCCGCGCCCGCGACAACGGGTGCTCGCTGCCCTGGGCCGTCGGTAGAAAACGGACAATGGGCTAACCCGCAGCCCTACCTTCGGCAGCCCCGTGTTCCTTAAACCGGCCTTTCGGTCCCCAGTGCAAACTGGGCGCGCGCGGGGGAAAGAAAGAGAGTTACTTC